TTACTACCCAATTTTGGTTTCCGTATTTAAGTCCCTGCTTCTGTTCTGTTCCCTAGTGGTTCGTTGATTGTGATGGTGATTTGTACTGAGATGTTTGTGAGGTGTGTATTTTGCTTACCTGCCCAGTTTCTGTTATTTGTGATTTGTAGTTTTTGTGATTTGTAGTTTTTGTGATTTGTAGTTTTTGTGATTTGTAGTTTTTGTGATTTGTAGTTTTTGTTTATCCCCTTTAGTTTCTGACCCCTCGAGGTCCTTTGTTTTGTTAGTCCTTTCTTGTGTTTTTAGCTCAGTTAAATAAACCCTTTTTGTTTTCTTGGAGCCGCCAGTGGGTCATTCACCTTTTTTATGCCCTGGCCATGCCACGTTCCCGTACCCGAGCCGCCCGGATCCATGACAATCTATCGCTGTTTTTTGGTATGACAGCTAAAGCATTTAAAGCATCCTGTCATTTACTGCATCTGCATTTTTAGAATGCTGCAACCATGTTAATACAGACTCTCCTCTACTTATGAACTTTCAGACAAACGAACAAAGAGGACTGTAAGTCCAAATTGTGTTCATTGGGCTCCCGTTTCCTGTCCGCAACATCAATTTTTTTTCTGTGCATCAATTCCGCCTAGTACAACCTCTGACCGCTACTCCTGCCACGCAGCAGCATAACGTGCGTACTCCCAACATTCCAGTTCTTTGTACTTGCGTATAACTTTAAAATGATTTTGAATAACAACTTACGAACATTTCAAGTTACGATCGGCTGTTCGAAACGTATCTTGTTCGTAAGTGCAGGAGCGTCTGTATAGCCGAAAACCACATTTGATATCAACTTGCCTTATTTTGCTACTGTGTAGTTTTCTTTTTTTTTTCATGGCCTTAATGGTGTCCTCTCTTCTTCTCCTCCATGAAAATGACAACTAGTCTGGCTTTCTCCTCTGAAAGGTGTCATCAGAGTCACTCTGGGATTTCAGCCTTGTGACGACTGAGTCCTACAGGCTTTTCTCACACTTGTAGCTGGAGTGCTGTTATTCCACAGCTGAACGTTTTCCCGTGTGATGCTGAAGACCTGTTTCTGATCCACCACTACAAAAGTTTGCAAAATAGTTTTAAGTAGTGAGAAATGCCCCCTCTAGAAATATAGTTATACATTTACGTTACCATTTATTTACTTGGCAGAAGCTTTGTCCAAAGCGATGTACAAGCAGGGTAGATAATACATCACAAGTGTACAGCTGTCAATGACCAACCAGAGTTGAGTGCTGGTAGGATGAACTTCCACTGATTGTCCAGAAACAAGTGCATGATAGTTGTCGGAAGGAGAGCTATACAAACAATGCTTAGAACACTTGAGAACATCTAGTAGTTCCAGGCAAACCATGTTAAAATGGAACAAGTCAACAGTAGACAGAGAGCCAATAGGGGTCAGTGGTATAGAATGAGGTTAGTCACCGAAAAAAATGTTGTGTAGAAGAGGAACCAGGCGTGTGAAATGTCTTTGTAAAGACAAATAACTGCAAAAATAGAGTTAATAATAAACCCTCTGGAGCAAATCTGGGAGAGTCAGGAGGTAGAATAAAGATTGGAGCACTGTGTGGAAGCAAATTGTGTGGTCAGACTTTTTCTTATCAAATGGCTGCAGTAGGAACCCATACTGGTGGATGTGGTGAAACAGCCGTGAATGACAAGGAGGGACATACAGGCAATCTGCTACAGTTAGAAGCTGCCTTGGCCTCAGTGCCCATGGTATTCCTGTATGTTCATTGCATGGGCAGCTGAGTAATCCGAGTACTTGTTTGTCAGCACATTAGTGTTTAACTGCAAGACATAACCCTTTTGAAAAAAGTCTAAAATGAAAGTTTTTGTCAATACAGTGGAGATGTTTTAAGCATTAGGTAACCTTCTTTAAAAGCTCCCGTCTATGAAGGATGAACTGGGGTCATCGGGAAAGGCTTCAAGTTCATCTACTCTGCCCCAGCTCTGTGGTGGTCCTGGGGTTCTTCACGGAAAGATGGGAGATCTGCAGACCCCTGCAGATAATGTAGACGCTTGGATGCAAATGTGGCCCTGCAGCAGATCAGCATGTCCCTCTCTAATAAAGCTTTTTTAGTTCTCTGTTTTTTCTATACAGTATATGCAAAAAAAAAACCATTCAATCCATCTTTTAACTGCTAATCCTGGTCAGGGCTACAGGAGGGCCTGGAGCCCATCCCAGGCAACACGGGGCATGAAGGTGGTCTACACCGTGGATTATGCAATTATGCAAATATAGTCCAACATTTATTAACCATTTCAAATACAGCTTTACAGCACATTAAAAACAAAATCATGCATAAAACATAAACATACAATATTTTATTGCCGTATAATTCATGTATGAATCAACCAACAACAAGAACAAATGAAATGTAACGTCAACAGTGTTTAATATATTTTTTTCATTAGTGACACCTGGACTATTTTCTTCATATCAGAAAGAGGTGTCCCAGTATGGTTCAGCTGGCCATGAAGTAGCATCATAAAATAATGGTCGAACAGCATTTTTATTTGTCCCTACGTGTGACGATGTGAATTGTGTCACTGTGGAATTGCAGCATGAGGAGAAGCAGCAGGTGACAGGCTCATTCTTAAATGCATTGACCGAGGGCGTGTGATGTCCTGCCCTCATGACGGCTGCAGGGACTGGCCTGCGGCTCAAGTCTGTCTGAGACACGTCGATACCGTGTAATGCGACAGGTGAAGAACACTGAAATACAACACAATTAAGGTACAGCTCAAGGAACCACAAATCAATCGAGAGCAGATAGCCATATGGTGTGTACCGTCAGCAGAATCAACATACACAGTGTTTTACAGGAATTGCACAAATGTTTTGAAGCACTTTTACAATGATTATTTTGAGAAAAATCAATAAACTTTGAAATCTAGTCCTCTGGTCTGTTTTCAATGAATAAGGTAATCACAGAATTTGCAAAAAAAAAAAAAAAAAAAATCAAAATATTCCATTCCAAATATTAGTCTAATAATTAGTTTAATAGCCACATAAAAATAAGAGGGATATGGTCACACTTTAGTTACATTTGCACACAGATTCATTTCATTATATTCATTTCATTATATTTCACTGCTTAGAGGAAAGCACCTGGTTTCGAAACTGATCAATGAAAAGAAATCTACAGCCTTAATGATTACTGTCAGTCCTATTGAGTAAACATTTTGGACTATATTTCTTGATAGTGTCATAGTTATTCATATAAATTCCAAATAAAATAAATCTCAAAAGTTCTATTTACATACCGTTAGCAATTCTAGAACCATATGGTTTGGCAACCAAAAAAAAATCACACCACACATTTTCAGTATACTTTGGAGATGTTACTAGAGAAGAACACACATTAGGATAAACGTTACTTACTCAGGCTATTGAATTTATAATGTATTCACCAACCATTATGTACATATTCTCCTATAAAACACTGCGGGCCATTACTTACAATAAAAACTACATTAGACTGTAACACAGTGATAGATGTTAGTGTTAGACTGATACAGAGACGTATTCAGATAAAGCTGCATGAAATGAACTATAGATGCAGACATTTACATTTTTATTTAAGAAAATAACGGTACATTAAAGATAAAATGATCATATCCAACTCTAGATTATGGCTGACAGAGTTAACGGGTACATTACATCTGGAAAAAATCAGGTATAGACAAGATTTTGTTATTTGAAAAATCTGGTCCCCTTTCATTTCCTTTCCTTTCTACAAACTTGTGATTAATATGTTTACTATGCCTTGAGTACCTACTTTTACCATTTGATAGCACTGGTGGGTGGTTGGTTGGGGAAAATGTGTTTAATTTTTATTTAATAATTTTTATGACTGTTAGTTGTTTTCTCATTTTTTGTTCTTTTTTTCTTTTAAATGTTCAATTGCTAACATGTAAGTTTTATGTTTGTACTTAAAAACTGTATTTACAAGTGAATGTGTGCCGAAATTTCTACTAACAAAAATATTTAAACATAAAATGATCATATATATATATATATATATATATATATTCACTTATCTAAACATTACAAAAAATATGATGTAATTAAGTGAAGTATTTTTGTCTCTGTAATGCATATTACAAAGTAATATCCTAATAATAGTGGATATGTGTGACAATACGTATTACACCTGTTCTGAAAATTCTGAGATAAATAAGATATATAAAGATCTACAAAGACAAACCAATGCAGACAATGGAATGTTGGACAATTCACCAAAATAATGATTTAAAACCAGTAGTTCCTTAATAACTTGCATTAATTTTTCATTCAATTTATATTTCTTATTAAACATTTAACCTTCATAAAAAGTTGGAAGCATAAAATGTCCACCCAGTACGGTGTGCTTGCGCGTTCTTCTCCATACCTAGCTTCCTGAATATTTCCAAATATCTGGAGACTATGAAGGCCAAATACTACTTCATTATTGTTAAGAGACTGAATGTGTCTATTGTATAACATTACGATGCAATGTAAGAAATGTGTCTGTATTAACTGTCTTGTATCGCATCTAATTTTGTATTTGTGAAGGTAACATATTATTCCATCAACTTTTTCATTACCTTCTCTATAGCTGCCTTTTACTTATATAAGACGTGAGTGATTGGAGAATATAATCATTGGTAACTAGTATTAGACTGTCCTCAATTAAAAGTTTAAAGCTGTACCTTTGAAAAATTGCATTTAGTGAAGAAAGATAAATATGCACTGTGTAGATATGCATTAACATGAATGACAGTCCTAAATGCTCGTGGGAGTTTTAGCAAAACTCATACCAGTCTACCTGATTTTACAAAAGTTACGTACAAAAATGTTCTGAGAGCAGAAGGAAAAATGATTGGCTCAGAGAGATAACCAATCAGATTGTAGTGGAGGTGGGTTCAAACTAGAGGAGGCAGGACCAAACAATCAGATGTCTTGGCCCCGCCTCCTCTAGTTACTTAGACCCACCTCCTCTACAATCTGATTGGTTATCTCTCTGAACTGATCATTTTTGTGTAAGTAAAACTCCCATGAGTGTCCTAAATACGGATAAGAATAAAACTGCAAAAATATTATCATATCAGTGTTTACTTATCAAAAATCAACCTATCTTGTTGGACCAGAACTGAGAGCCAGTAATCAAATAGATGGTATGTGGGATCGATGAAAATAGGCCATTCCAAGGTTAGAACAGCAGGGCTAGATGAAAGGCAGATGTTATTTGTGCCACTTGTTTTCTCTCAGTTGAAATATGTCAGTATGCAGAGGAGTCAAACATAAATCCTTCCATGTTCTTTGCCTTTCCTTGACATACAGAAGTGAAACGAGAGCTTGCAGGCTCTTCACTGCTCATAAAACGGCAACGATATTAACTACAATACCTGTTGTTTAAAAATAATTTTGGGTTTAGCACCCAAAATAAAAATCCACTTGTTTTTAATATGAACACATGTAGAAGCACACGGTATGGCAAGCAAAATAATGGCCTGAAATGTGTTCATGTGGGACAGACACACAGTGCGTTACTTCTCATACATTGCCTTCGAGGACTGGTGAAGCGCAAAAATCCCAAAGAGAAAGCAAGACGTCCATGACCAGAATGAAAAAGCATACATTAAAAAAAAAAAACAGAAGAGCTAGTTATTAAATGTATAAATATTTCACGGCGATCTTCAGAAAAACGATAAATTGATTTACATATTTGAAATTCAGCTGCATGCTTGCAGTGACCTTAAGCTCAGATAAATACCCGCTAACAGAGCAGCTAGCATATGCTATGGAAACAGAGCGTAGAGCACAGAATTTTATCATGCATAATGACATCTGAATGGAGCAGCAAATGGAGCCAGCATCTGAACTAAACAGTCATCTATTACAAAAAAGAACAGGTTTGGCCATTGAAAAAAATGGGATGAACCTGTGTTTTTCGGTCTTTATGGATTTAAGCATTTAGGTTATAGAGGCTTTGTAAGAAAAAAAAACTAAAATGTCTTCAGAAGTGGAATCCATAATCATAAACACTTTTCATCATTTGGAATGACTTTCTTTGGATATAATGATAAAGATTGCTGGTTCACCTGTGCTACTGTATTAAGTACAAAGGTCAACATTCAGTGCTTTACAAACTAGCAGAAAATAGGACAACAATCAATCTAACATTTTAGCAGAGACTTGCATGGTAAACACACAACATACACAGTAAAAAAAATGGAAAAGCAAGTAACATATGGTACAATATTAAAGCATTTTTGTGAAAAATACAATTGGCCAATTTCCTTAGGCAGTTTCAGTTGAATATTCTGTCATGTTCTGATTCTTAAGTGAAATTAAACACGTAAGAAGCAGATGTACCAGTTTCATTAACTACAAAATGTGGAACCATATGGCTTATGAAAGATTCATGCTTGTTTTATACTCTCTCTTACTCTGTGTTGATTTTGCAGAGGGGCTGGGTAGCTAGGTAATTACACTCAAAGAAGACATTTTGGTGACCTCCATGCTTACTGTGGAGAGGGGGAAACTCTCATAGCTCTCCGGCGCCCCCCAGCATCGGCATCGGTATAGCGCAGCCCTCAGCTCCTTCTGGAAGTTGCTGTTGAGGAAGCCATAGATGACAGGGTTGACGCAGGTGGACGCCATGGCCGTCAGGTGGCAGGCAGAGAAGATGATGTCATGCTGGCAGGAGGGGATCGCCCAGTGGTGCCAGTCGAACAGCGTGTTAAAGACATTGAGTGGTAACCAGCAGAGGGCGAAGACAGCCACGATGGAGGCCAGCATGACATTGACCCTCTTGGACCCCTTTGCTTTCTTCTGCCGGGGGTCCCGCGTTCTTTCCACCATGTCCTTCCTCCGTCGTAGCCGCAAGAAAATGCGCAGGTAGCAGACGAGGATGAGGGACAGGGGCAGGCAGTACTGGAAGAGCAGCAGCGACGTAGTGTAGGCCAGCCGGTTACGCTCGGATGGCCAAAGCTCCATGCAGATCACGTGGTCCGTGAATGGATTGTAAGGGAGGCTCAGGTTCTGGAAGGGGGCGTTGGTGAGAATGTTGAACGAGAGGAATGGCAAGGAGATGAAGCAAGCCACCATCCAGGTGACAGCCACTGCTAGGTAGGAGTGACCCACCACCGGCTTCCAGCCCGTAGGGTGGATGATGAGCTGGTGGCGCTCCAGGGCGATAAGCACCATGGAGAAGATGGAGACCGTGACAGACATGCACTGGACGAAAGGCGTGACCTTGCAGAGGGCTTCTCCCAGGATCCATCGGTCCATCAGGGTGTAGATGACAGTGACTGGCAGGCAGACGATGCACATGAGGATGTCGGAACAGGAGAGGTTGGCGATGAAGATGTTGGTGACGTTCCTCATCTCCTTCTGCCGGGAGATGATGAAGACGAGGCAGGTGTTGCCGATGAGGCCGACGGCAATCACGGCGCTGTACGCCACAATGAGGAAAGTCGTGCTGCTCACCGAGGTGCGGCACTGGCCTGACTGGTCCCAGGATAGCTCATCCCACCAGGGTCTGCTGCTGTTATTCATCATGGGGCCAACCGCAGGTGGATGTCCGTGGGGAGGACTTGTTCAGCAGTAATACAGAAAATACGATTTGTTCTTTGTTGTATTTAACTGGCAGGAGTCATGTCCCTTGTTCCTAAGTTCAGGTGTAGGTTTTAGATGTCTGCTTTTATTCGTCTGTGTTAAAAAAAAAATCAAGAGAAACAGCTTAAGCTTTTGCTCTAAGAGCAATTTATTTCCCATGTAGAACATAAATATTGCACTATAAATAAATCATACCAGTCTACCCGATTTTACAAAAGTTACGTACAAAAAAAGTACCTAAATATAATTTTCATCAATCATCAGACTAGGCAAAGCATGAAATTGTCTCTTCTTCCTCAAGTGGCAAGAAATTAGCCCTAATTTTAAATGCTGTTAACAAGACCACTGTGTGTTTGAAGCTAAGCCCAGTTGTTTTCGCTCAGTTAGAATGCAATGCAAGGTGTTTTTTTTAAGGTACAGTAATCATTTGTGTGTTGTTCCACAGCCACGCAGCACAGTTCTCAGTTTCATTTTTGTAGCAATGTCATGCAGAATAATTTATTCACACATGGGTTGTGTGACATCTGCCAGGCGACTCCAACATTTCATAACCATTCTGGTATTATTTTACAAGAGGCTCGGTTCTCTTTTTCTAAAAGCTCAGTTTAACATTCAGCCCGTGTCAGTTCCAGCCACCCCCACCTCCAGCCCCCAAGACCTTACTCACGATAAGCAGTTGGAAGATGGATGGATTCAACTTGTGTTTGCCAGTCTTCCTTAAATATTGTGATATTTTGTCGTACGGTACGACAGGAAATTACTGCCAAAAATGCCGTTGTCTCAAGACTTGACAGTATCGTTAACCGGGCTGATAAATTCCAGCTGTAATTTTCCTAGCCTTTTTTGGTCGGATGATACTGTAGCTACGTTGGCTCTAAGTATTAGCAAGTGGCTATTAGCTTTTTTATGACAGAACCAAGCATTTACTCTCTTGTATGATGTAAAAGTCTAAATATTTATGAAGTACCCTTCAGTGGAACCTCAGAGATATGTGGCTCTTTATGTATTCCTTATTTCATGTTTGTAACATTTACAACAAGTAATGGATAACCTGAAAGCCATTTTCCAGAAATGATCACGGACTATATATCTGTGTACACAAATGAAAAGTTCCTAAGACAGTAATTATTTGGATGCTTATACATGGTGACATTCACACAGCGCCCAGTAGATGTATTAGACAGATACACAGTAGATTTACAGTTGAATATGTTCACAGAACCAGTTTAGTTTAGCTGGTGTGCTAAATATTACTACGGTAGGTAAAAGCAGGCTGACAATCCCACTAGCAGACTGTCTGCATAAGAGTATTTCTGAGAGCAAGGGAACAGAACTCTATTTTTATTATCTCACCTGATTCTAATTTCACTTGTTTCAGTCAGCCAATGATGCAATGTTACGATAGTAAGGCATAAAGTGATAGTCATTAAACCTGTAATAATTTCAACATACAAAATGATGGCACTACCAGCAGGAGGGCAAATTTTCACCATCTCTTTCATGAAAACTGCACACTGCATAATTTGCGAGACGTTTTGGATTATATGTAGATGACTTTCAGAAGTAGCTCTGAATTACCTTATTCAACTGCACATAATGGCCCTGAGCTGGGAGCTGCTGATTAGGTGCTCAGGGCTCAAGCTGTCATGGGATGCATATAGATGCTTATACCATTCAAACATATACCATTCACACATATACCATTCACACATATACCATTCAAACATATACCATTCACGCATATACCATTCACACATATACCATTCACACATATACCATTCCACCCACCAACTCCTAAATTGTCCTCTATGATTGCCACTCATATAAAAGGTAATCTAACCATACTACTAACCATATCAGGGGTGCTTAACTAGTGAACCTCTTTTGGTGCTGCTGTTGCTTCTAAAACATTATGTTCACCTGCTGACCTGATCTGCAGAAGCTGCACCCCGATGTAGCGTGAGCCTCAGAAATGGAATTAAATGGATGCGACCGAAATACAAGTTTAAACTAAAAAAAGGACTTTGACCAGCTAATTTGTCTGTTTGTATTAAGAACATTACTCCCTTTTTTGATGAGAAAGCATTTTCATGCTGAAGTATGCAGGACCTATGGTGAAATACAGGGGCTGGACTATGAAACTGAAACCCCTTGTTTTAGACCACAGTAATTCATTAGTATGGGGTAGGGCCTCCTTTTGCGGCCAATACAGCATTAATGGTTCTTTCTGAAGCACCAGGCTGCACATATATAGTTATGAAACCTCAAACACTATTGATCAGGTGTTTTAGTTTCATTGTCCAACCCCTGTATGTCAACCATATAGCCGATATATTAACATATTAAAATTAAAATATATTAAAATGCATTTAGGATTGGTGGTAAAGCACTTACTTGAGCTTGATCTAGCTACAGTAGGATTCAGACTCAGACTGTGCTGCTTCACCTTCTTACTGATGTCCTTTCAGTGTCTGTGAGAACAAACTGGATCTTGACTGAAAAGCCAAGACAGGATTCTGTGGTATGTTGATAAGATTGCTGCTCTTCTGAGAGGCCTTGACCACCTGTAAAATCAAACATGTTTCAGAGTAACACTACAATTACAATTCCCAGATGAAAAATTACAGTACAGCAAACTAAAATCCAGTACCATTTTATTTATTTTGGTTGAGACACTGGACCCTTGCGTCTAAAACAATTAAGTCAAAGGAGTGAAAACATAAGGGACTGAATATGTAAGTTTAAAATTTTGTCTAATGACTCTTCATGGTCCGTAAGCATTAAGATTAAAAAGCACATATGCCTTCTGCCACAGAATCTGTCAAGTGGATAAAAAGATAAAGAGATAATCTAATAAAGGAATCCCGTACTGAGTTTTGTGGTACATTATTGTCTGAAACAGCTTGCAGTGGTGAGCATCTGGAAAGTAACATGGCCCTGAAAAGCAGTGGAGTAACAGCCGTTATGGTGGGCTGCCGTAATTCACGTAATCGTGAATCAAGGTGTCCTGGCCAGAGCCATGCAAACAGGACAGGAAGCTGATGGATACCCTGTGTGAGTCTGCGAGGTCCACGGCTCTGTAAATTCATAACATTCAGGCAGACGTAGCCAGATAGTAAAACCAGGGGTTTGAACCCCCCCAAAGTTTTTTTGTTGCCAGTCTGGCACATAGCCATGTAGCAAAATTACAAGCCCCCAAGTCAGCAAACTCTACCGAGGGAAACCCCCATCCCCTGGTTGACAACATCTACCAAGATGATTGCTGGACCCCCCCCCCCAACGAGATTTATTTCTGGTTTCAGGCCTGTATGCTTTAACCTTATCAGCTGCTAAATTACAGACTGAGCCCTTTTTTCGAGTAATATGGCTAAAATCCGAATGTCAAATGTGATAAAAATGCATGGACACGCGGCGTTGGAGCACCTGGGGAACGGGCCAGTTACTAATGACCTGAACACCGTCAGGCAATCTTGAAATAACATTCTCCACAAGGCACCCAGGGCGAAAGACTTTCTTAGTTTGAATATGAATTCCTCAAAGGCGCCTCGAGCGTTTGGGTCTTTGTGACGCAATATTGTGACACCTGCCAGCACTGGCGCTCAGGTGTATGAAACGTCACCTGGCACTGGGTCTGTCTGACAAATGACACCATGGTAATAGCCTAAAAGGAATTTCAGCATGGTGTCCTGGGCTCTTCACGCCTGCTGGGGTGTAATGGCAGGATAAGGGCACAGGGTATTTCAGAAAGGATTCGGAACGCACCCCAGTTTTTGCTGCTGTTTAAATTTTAGGTTTAGGTGATTCGCTTGTGCTGTCTATCACTGTTCGTTTACCTAATAAAAACCAATATCCAAGTATCTGATGTATGGTGGATTAAACCCCATTTGTGACAGACAGGAGAGCTATAGGGCTCTCTTGGGATGTTCGCTGGAGCACAGCATGTCTGAAATTCTTGTAGAATGTGGAAATCTGATGCATTAAATAAAACCCACTTTTACGAAATATTAGATATACATGATTGTTCACATTTTTAGTACAAAGAATTTTGGTGAAGGTCACTGAAAGGTCACCTCAGGATCCCTTCTGTGACCTCTCTGATTTGGCTTGGCTAATGCAAGTGGTAAGGATACTGCTGAGCATTCAGTACACTACTCACTCAAGTACATTAGTAATTGTTTCATGTCAGTTTCACTTAAGCTCAATTTGTATGCTATCTACCTAGAATTACAATCCCCCAACACGGTCATTAAAATGTAACAGGCATGCATTTGAAATGTTTAACTTTTACCGCATTTTATCACAGGCACTTCACTTTTTTCTTGTTTAAAAATTGCCTAGAGAAGAAGGTGAAACCAGAACTAAATAATAAAACGTCAAGAGTGTAACTGAGCCAAGCAACTGGGCAGGTAATAAACGGTGTGAAATCGAAGGGTCAGAAAAAAACGATATAAACGATAAAAATGATTTCATTTACCAATCAAATTTCTTTTAGGTGAATCAAATGAAGCGTCATTTAATTTAATGTGTGGTGAAATTATAGTTTTTAAATTATATTTTTTTTTTAAACTGATCGGTTAAAAAAAAAATCATCTTTTAACATAATTATACAAAATATATGTATCAGAGTGATTTTGAACAACGACATGGGACACTTTGAAGAGCTAGACACATATGAAAAATCCCTTAAAGAAAAGTAAATGCACGGATGAAACGTTCAGGAAGAATCAGATCTGTAACTGCCGAGCCGGGTATAGTCACACAAAATAAACACTCCGCATGTAGTCTAATGCTTGCGTGTGAAAACATTTTCAGTTTTATGTCAAATGTTGTTTTTGGTAATCATTGGATGGTTAGAGAATTTGCCAAAGTCTTCATAGATGGGGACTCAGCGATGTAAACAACAAAGACGTTAAACTGTTTCACTGTATTTATATCTGAGAATATATACATTATTAAACATATACACGCGTATTTAATAAATATACGTGACATTGTAACCAAACATTTAAGGAGTCCCAGAAGTACCATGTGTCATAATGTTTGAATAGTACCACATAAATCAGGAAAACATTTTCTAGTTTATGCATCTTCGTTCACAAAGGTAAAGGGCGCAAAGCAGTTATTTTAAGTCTAAAGACAATGGGTCAGTTTGTATTATGAAATGGGTATGTATCTCAAATGATGTAAAATTAAATTTAATACCCAATTTCATTGGTCCAATTCAATACTGAACATTATCAAGCAAGAATATAAGAAAACGCACAACAAAAGCCAGCACTATCTCAGGAAACCCTTGTGAATAACTTACCTTTGTCAGGCAAATAATGGTCTTGCAAAAGCGTGTATCCGGGATCAGTTTACCGCCTGCTGGCATAGATGCGATAGAAACGAACGGGACTTTCCGACAGTCAAAGCGTCAACGTTCAAAAGCAGGTAGTTGGGGGAGGCTTTTGGGGTCTGAAAGGAACGCTGGATGAATTCCTCTTAAAGAGACAAGGGGCCATCAAGGAGACCGATTTCTGCCGTGTTTTTTGTGAACCACGTTACTAAGAGCCCCCAAATAGACGTCGCCAACAATATATTGCTCCTCAAGATGTACAATTCCAAATTCTTTTTTATTATTAACGGGTAATTGTTTGTCCATTTGTATACTAGTCGAATCCTGATAGCAATGAAATCCATCGGTGTTAATTTCCTCTCACATATTAGAACCGTTAACTTCTGACATGTCTGAACAAGGAGGTGTGGCTGTCAGGGTCTGCGGAAGAAGTTCACCATATCGGTTATAAGGTCATACCATTTGTAGCATTTAAGATAGTTTAAATATTCCAGTCAGCTTTCAAGTTTTCAACTTGTTAATCAACAGTGGATTGCAAACCCAGGACATACGAAGTGTAACACCCACAACAGTGTCATGTTAGGACAGAAAGACAATCCACTTATTGTTTATACAGTAACTTGTAGCTTAATTGGCTTTAAACTTACATATTACTTAACATAGTATCAGTACATTATTTGTGATTTTATGAGGAGGGGAAAAATTGTCTTTGGAACCCTGACCCAGATAAGCAGTAAGATGGATGGATGGATGGACAAGGTTATAATGAAAAATAACAGATGTGTCCCTCCAGGAATTTACAGGTTCTGTGACATTGCTGATGGATCAAGAATCTTATTTACTTTAGTTATCCCACCATAAATATGACACAAATCATGAACACCAGAAAATTTCAAACAATCAAATTGATCTGTTTTGTTTAGCTCCCATGTTGTTGGACTTGACTGGAGAAGATATATCAAATAAGCATTTAATTAAGACTGAAAAACCATTCTGTCTTCTTTTTTTTCTTTCCTTTCCCTCTACAAAACACATATGATAACATCTGCCACCAGTTTTCAGTTCATTTGCTCTCTCTCTCTCTCTCTCTGCTGTTGGGGCTATGACTGTGGCTCTTTCCCAGGAGAATCTTCTGCATTTATCAACAGCCCATCACTCATTATGTCGTGTTCTCTTTTTTCATTATTTTTTCAAAACAGTATTATCATTGTTTCCCAACATGAGAGAGATTAGGGTCATGCTCGCATTTGAACCTTGAACATAATGATTTATGTATATACAAGCTGCAAGACAAGAAATGCAAATACGGTTCTTCGAGTTGTAAAATCTGACAGATTAATATCTAGTTCAGTACTGATGACAGTCCTTTTTTGACACTGTATGCCAAATTAATACATTTATCAAGCAAATGCTTTTGTCAAAAGTTACATAGAAGCAAGGACCAGAGCGCATGGCCAAACAAAATTGGGATTGAAGGTCTGGTTCAAAGAACCTAAGAGTGACATCACCCTACCAGCCACGAGATTTGAACCAGCAACCATCTGACCACAGGCGCAGGCTAGAGCATTCACCCATAGAGTCACACACTGCCTGACAAAGTCAAGTCAATATCAAACCGCTCAAATTTCACAAAGTCACAAATAAATGTCTGTCACCTTCAGGAAAATGTCCTGCTTATGGAGCTTACAGATATGATAATGGCTGTGACAACAAAGGAGAAATACACAAACTGAACCCAACCCTATCACATGTGGGGACATTCAAAGGCCAAAACTATTTAGCAATCACCCTGCAAGCCTAACGACAAACCTTCAAACATACGCTTATCTTAGGAGAGCACCAGGTCCATAAGCTCCATACCACAAGGAGATACTTTCAGAAGCAACGTGACCCTGTAGAGACAGGATAAGTGCAAACCTCAAATATCAGTACATTTACAGGTCATTACAAAACCCAAATCAGGAGAATGAAAAACATAAGAATGAAAAACATGGCTGCTTTTAGCTCTGAAAAGCAGGGAGAAACCCATGTGAATACTTCTACTCCAATAACTATTAAACTGGTTAAAGCTGAGTAATACTATAGTGAAACCAAATACAGTATATCTTTAACTGCAGCAAGGCATTCTGGGTAAGTGCTATTTCTACTTACTATTGACAAAGAATGGGTGACCGTGACAGCTGAAAAATTCTCCTCACTCTCAATGATGTCTGGAGGTTCTAGAAAGTCTTGCATGGCTTTCTGGGGAAGAGCTGTTTGTGATACCAAAGTTACTTTCCGTCTTGTTAGTTAAAAGTAATTTAGAGGGTAATGAGCTTTTCTGGATGCTGCTACGAGACAACAGTAAAGCTGTCCTCGGGCCACAAGCAGCATTATCAGTGAGTAGTTATGGGGCAGACATGCTACAAATTTGGTTGTGGAAGCACTGGAAGAGAGTAATGTGGTGTGGCAGTATTCTTTACAGAAGAAAGATGGTCAAACAAAAGCTTCATACTTATTTTGTTTATGATTTATGAATAAAACCAGACATGTGCATTCACTTCTGCTCCATATGTAGTATGCAGCAGAACATTTATCAAATAAGCCATAATTTCATTTGAGATTAAGATGGTCCTTTTGTGAAATACTGTATGCAGCATTTACTCTGATTGTATGTACACCACTAGTATGATACTTAACTGTTCTGGCGGAGTCAATGGTTTTCTTGTCCATGTATTTATTTTCTCATTGTTCATGTTTATTCGAAAATCTGGCATTTTCACCATTCTCTACAAAGTCCCTTAGGCATAACAAAATGAAGCCACAATTGTTTTTTCAAATGAAATAACACAGATTAGCTCTTCATTTTATTTGAACACAACCACCTGATTAGATCTGAAATTCAAATCAAACCACAAATGGATTCTCTATAGACAAAATAAATAAAAGGCTTGAATCAAATGAAAACACTGGCTGTATACCTAGTACATACATGCCATTGCTTTCTTCATTGTAGTGTTGCTCTTGTTTTCAAAAGATGGACACAACCAGAAATATATGTGTATACATAAGACTGCAGCAGAAGGGACTACGTGGTCATATTCCATATTCTGTTTGGAACTTCTAACAATTATAGTGGTGGAGTTGGGAAAACAACTGAACGAAAGAATAAATGGTAACGCTTTACATTAACTGCCCCTTCATAATGCCTTTATAATGCATTCATAGAACATTCAGCTCACCTTCATAATGCATTCATAATCCATTCATAAAATGTATTCATAGAACCTTCATAAGAAACATTATAATCGTATAATCATATAAGGTTTGTCATTAATTTCATGTATAATATACCTGTTACTTATGAATGTTCCATGAATGCAATATGAAGGTGATCTTAATGTTCTACAAATGCATTTTAAAAGCATTATGAATGTGCAGTTAATGTAAAGCATTACTGAATATACAGTCCATGAGGTGCCCAGAACAAAGAATGGATAGAAATGAACTCTTAGAAGAAATCCATCCTTCAATCCATTTCCATACCCGCTTGTCATTTGCAGGGTCGTGGTTCTCCTCAGCTCTTCCCAGAAGTAATGGGCACAAGGCAGGAAATAATCTTAGAAAACATTCACCAGCAAATTAGAAAACATTCACCAATGAATTAACTTTTCACGCCTATGAACCACTAACAGTGACTAGCTCGTATTAGAAATTGCTTGCATCAATGTCAGGTGTACAGTTGTGCTTAGATCACTGTTTTCCTCATTATTAAAGGTCCACTTTGTGTTACCCAATAAATGTTTTCAGAGAAGCGCCAAGTCAGTGTTAATGTTAGCTCACCTTGGCCTGACTTTTATATCTGCGCTTTTCTATTAATCTGAATTGAAACAAACAACCAGGGAATAATGCCTCCCTATCGCAAGATGGGACTAGGCTCAGCTGAAGGTACCACCTCGCCTTTAACGGTGGAAGTCCAGCGAAATGAGGAAATCGCCAACACTGATGTCAAAAGGGGGAGGCATGGTGGTGCAGTGCTTAACGCTGCTACCTCACATTCCTAGGACTCGGGTTTGAGTCTCTGCTCTAGCTCCATGTGTGATAGTGTTTGTTGCTTCCTGTGTCATTGTGGGGTTCCCCCCCCCCACAGTGAACTGGAGTTACCAAATTACCCAAAGGTGTGTGTGTGTGTGTGTGGGGGGGGGGTGCCCCCCATCCTGGGTTGTTCCCTGCCTTAAGCCCACAGCCTCTGAGTTCAGCTCCAGACTCCAAATGACCCTGAATAAGACAAGCAGTGATAGAAGATGGATGGATGAACTTTACCTGGATAGAAAAGACTGGATAAGTTTCAACATTACATGAAATGAAGCTTGTGTGCATAGTAGGTTGCAGTTTGTCAGACTCTCTTTGCCAGTGTTCACGTCTGGCACTGGAACTGCCGCCAGTGTGTTTTTCAGTGTGTTTTCCCTCCCTCTTCAGTTTTAGATAACAGCAGCAGAGAGGAGAGAGGAGAGAGGAGAGCCCAAGGAGGCGGAAGCATCGACGGGGCCGATGTTCATGGACCGCTGGAAGGAGGTAATCAATATCCCTCAAACGATGAGAAGTGCAGCCTGGGTAGCGCTGAAGTGTCTCACCCCCCCCCCCTGCAATCTCCTGGTGTGTCACTCAGGCAACCTGCCTTCCCAGTACACCATACTATTTATATCTGGCCTTCTGGAAAGAGACGAAGGCAGATGAACAAGAGGGTCATTCCTCTTAGGGCAAAACCAGAGGTTTTCATTCTCCTGAAGGCTGTATCGTGGGGGCGTAATTAACTGGAGCTGTGGTATGCATGCAGGAGGGAAAATAAACGAAAATGAAATCATGTGGCCGGGACGAAGTGAGAGTAACATTGCTTCAGCTGCCCTAGAACTGCCATTTGACAGCATAGGTAGAGCTACACTTGGTTGTTCCCCATAAGCACATGAAACAATAGTTGCATATCTCTATATGGTTATTTTGGGCCATGATCCGCCACTGCAGTTATACCTACTGGTGGGACATCTACATGCTTTGGACACAAACTATATTCTGCATTTTTAATGAATCTCCATTTTACCACGCATACCGAGAGGTCTGAAGATGGTATATAATTTTATATGTAGACGTATATACATGCACATTTTTTTTTCACTTTTACAATGATCATCAATAAAAGAAACAGTATTTTATAAAACTCACCATTTTTATTTCTGTGTACTGGAGCTCCGCCATTGCCAGTTGTTCTGAGAACATCTTATGGAAGGTTACAGAAATAGACATATTCTAGGTCTATGCACACTGGCAGGATGCAAACTCATGACTTTTGCAACTAACTGAAGGACTTTAAACACTACAGTCAGTGTTACTCTCAAAGCAGACTAGCAGTCTGCATAGCTTTAG